TTCCTTCCTTCCTTCCTTCCTTCCTTCCTTCCTTCCTTCCTTCCTTCCTTCCTTCCTATTCATTTGGAGCATTCTCTTACATTGTCTGTCTCTGTTCTAATAAAAGTTTGCACCTGCTAACATGATGGCCCTGTTCCTATAAAAGTATATTAGTGTAGAAATAAAAGATATGACGATTTGTTTAACTTATACAATTATCTACCATTCTATTAAATAATGTTAGAAACGTCAGAGAATTGTAGTTGAAAAACAATTTCGAGATTCCCAGAAGATTCTGAGAAATGTTATGAAGCCAACCAGGTAGCAAGCTTTGAGATGAGGGAAAGGACAGGCAGTGGGCTAACATTGCATTGGCTTTCACAGATACAAAAAGTGGCTTCTTTTTGAAATATTCTTTACTTCAAAAAGTGATGTTATCTAAAACTCTTGGAGGCCACTACTGTTGTATGCTTCAGCATGCTAAGAGTAGGAGAAGGAGTAGGGAAAAAATACAGTACAGGAAGTAGAACGAAGAGTTTCAGTGCCCAATTGCTTTACAACACGTGTCAAACCCACTGTGTCATGTTGCCATCACATGATGTTTTTTGACATTTTCCCCATTTGTGGAGTTGGGGTGGGCATGGCTTGTATGTGACACATCTGGCTTGCTGGCCACCAGTTTGACACCCCTGCTTTAAAATCTAATTATAATGTTTTCTGTACTTTTGGTTTTACTAATTCATGATCTGGAAACATCCCTGAAAGTTTGTAACTGAGGTAGGTACTTTGGTTTTGTCAGAGAAAAAGATGCACTGAAAAAATAAAAGAATTATAAACAGGCAAAGAAAGAACACTCTGCTATTTATGATATGCGTTGCAAAATAAAAAAAGGGACTAGTTCTTTACAGAAGCTTCCCAAGGCATTCTGTCAAAATGTACTCTTGTTCCTTTGTATTTCTAACAATAAAAAATATCTTAAAAGGAAAAAGGAAGGCTTCCTAAAAACCAATATTATGCTTTAACATAGAAGAATGGGAAAAAAAATCTCAGCTGATCAAAATAATATTTTACATATATTATGTTCTGTTTATATTAAATCTAACAGAATCTAAATAAATATGAGGAAATATATGCTGCTGACACAGCTCTTTATATGCAAATATAATATAAGTCCAAGGCACAGTTGATAAAAACATATTTTGGAGGAAATAACTCCAACAAATTCTTGAAGATCCCCTTCACTCCTTCTCTTTTCCCTGGCAGCAACTTTTAGGAATGCTTATCGCTGCTAAGTATTATACACATAGAGGTTGCAGATGACTAAACAAAACTGTTTGCTTTTCTTCTCTTCTGGATTTTCCTGGTGTTGTAGTTAAACACAACTGATCCTCTGCAAGCCAAAGACAACTTGCACCTCAACTAACATGCTGAAATGTGATTTTTGT